TTTTTTCAATCGGTATTGAGAATAAGCATCTTTTTTTGAGGGTTTGAAACAAGTAAATTTTTACACCTTCGTAGTCTTGACGCAAATGAAAATTTCTCATTGAAAAATACATCTCAGCTCCTAATTTTCTTGAGATTATTCATTTCGTATTTCATCAATAATATTTGACCTGGTCTGATTTCGTCAATAATATTTGAATGGGGTTTGAATCCACCGAAAAAGTCCTCTAAAAAGGCAAATCTCTTACAATATTTGATCACGGAGTTCCTTAGTCTCTTGGATTGGGTTCAAAATTACTAAGTTATGAAGTTGAAAATTGATAGTCGTAAACTCGACATCGGGTCGGCTGTTTAATGACGGTTTTAGAACAAAATAAAATCAAAGATGAGTCATAAAATCTTTTGGAAAAGACCATTATCAACCACATCTAAAGTAATTTGTTGGTTCGTTTGTACAAAATTTTAAGATCTAATGTTATTTCAATGGATGTAATTGAATCTTTTCCCACACAAGTTCTTGACTTTTGATAAATATATTCATGATGCATTTGATCAAATGATACTTTATATCTCGTGATTACTCTATATCTCTTATATAGCAGGTACTATAAAGCAGTGATCAGCGGTTTCAGACAGCAAACTGAACTAATAAGATTATTTTACACAGCAAAAAGGTTTTTAAAAAAAATCAAAATTGAGAAAAAATGTGTCAGAATAGCTCTGTAGCAAATAGTTGTCGAATGTGAAATCACCCTATATTCATTATTAAAGTATAGTTGCATATTCAAAATTTAAACAATGAATATGTGCATATTAATTTTTGAAATATGTGCATGTGTGCATATGAATATGTGCATATTCATTTTTGAGCGAAATGCATAGTCTTAAAAATGGTGCAGATGGAGAAATGTGTGAGAGAGATGTTCGTTGCCTGTCGTCTGGTATCGAACCAAGAACCTTTGGTCTCGTAGTATGATGTTCAAACCAACACAGTTATAAACGTCAGTTTCGGGAGGGTTGGAAAGCTTTACATAGAAGCTGTCGCAAGGTCAATTCATGGACTAGTTTTCAGCAATTTGTTACTAAACCAAGAGTTATTTGTTATTTAACCATCTTACCCCCAGAGGTTGGAGATGGAAAATCGAGTTTGATATCATTGGTTTGCTTTTAAAATAATATTGAATATGTCTATTTCGATCTTTTCAATTCAATGCATATTTCTCGAGGTATTTAACCATTTTCTAACTTTTTTTTACACTCTATATAATTGAGTTGAATATTTAAAATATTTATTTAAATGTAGGCGCATTTATTTTAATCATTGTAAGACAACTATTGATTTTGTAATTTTAATAAAAAAAATGCAGTTGCATTTTATAAAATTAATGAAATCTTATTTGAAAGACCTTTCCTTTAAGTATGATTTTTGTAAAGGTTGTTTTAGAATTTATTTGAAAGAAATGGCGTATTTTTATTTTCATATATTTCGTAAAACTCACTTTCATTATGATGGGCGTCATTAGGAGCAAAATGATTAATTGCTTTCCTATAATAATATTGCCTTAACAAAGCTACCTTACTATACTTAACATGATTAATAATGTTGTAGATTTGATTTAAGAGATAACGATTGTGACGAAATTCTAGGAAAAAAATGAATGGGATTTTTTTATAACATGATTCATAGCACTTCATAAAAAATAAACGTTCTCTTAATATAATGATAGAAAAAATTCTTTAAAAAAATGAAATTATGAAAGATTATATCATATGATGAATAAGATTAAGCAATTATTATTTGAAATTAAATGAGTATAAGTTGTTTCACGCATTTTATTTTATTCATATTTTAATGCTATTTATTTATTTTACTTCATATAACGAAATGTTTTCAAATAAACGTTTCAAAGGTTGATTTCTAAAAGAGTTTGTTATTCAGTCTCATTTAAATATTTAATACGTTTAAAATTTGATTTACGAGAGCTCACTAGTTTAAAACTGTTCGTACACCTTATGTCGCTCATTACTGTTTCTCAATTAGAGTTTCTATCATTAAGTGAGTTATTAAAAAGCATTCAGTTAAAACTGTTTTTCTTTTACTTGTGATATTAGCGTAATGTTATCCTAAAAACTCATTGAAAGGAAAGTTAAAGTTAAATAAAGATAATTGCTTTAGTAATGAGATATAAGCAGTGCTTTAATTCGTTTCCGTTGATTAATATATTTGAATTTTTCAAACGAACATTAACGTCATTGAAATAATGTTTGAATAAAATTTGGTAATATTTATATTTTTCTATAATTATATTTACTTTTCTTCCTATTGATATTTACATAATTGTGACTATTTGCTTTAATCAAATTTGTTAATCTTATATATATAATTCTCTTACGTGGCTCCCTAATTTTGGCTGTATTTCTTTTCCGCCGGTGGCAACGCTTGCTTTGTTTTGTTTACGTTACTATTTCTCTTACACGGCGAATCGATCAGTGATTGCCTCTAAAAATGAGCTAGCTGAGGTGGCTCAACATATAGAGTATAGAGCTTTTAAAAACGGAAACTGAAATAATCAGAGAGCATCAGTTGCGACAATCTCATACTATTAAGCTAGGCAGAAGTGAGTAGTCTTTGTCGATAGATCTCTATTTTAGTATTTTGTCGAAAGCGCTTTTTTCACGAATTTATATATTACGAATTTATTTGACGATTTTTGATTTATATCACGAATTATACTATAGCATATTTCTAATAGGTTTAACGAATTACATGTTATTTAATCGAATTCAAATTTATTCTAATGACTTAGTAATTACTAAAAAGATGTAATTTTTTTTTAAAAAAAGTTTTCATATGGATTTGAATGATTGTTTTGAATTTTTAGAATTTTGTACCTAAGTTAGTAGCGAGTGAAGCGAGCTTGGTTTGCGAAGCAAACCATGTAAGATTGAGTAGTAATTTTCGGGGGTTGGCGAGCGTTAGTGAGCAGGGGGCGCAGCCCACTAGTATTAGAATAATATCTTACAATTTTAATGAATGGCTAGTTAATCTCAAGTGACATTGTTGAAGTTAATAACTATTGCTGTTTCATACTGATTAGTATGTCTTTTAGACTTACATATTAAGAATATTTATATTGAAAAGATAATGCTATTTTTTTCTAATGCTCAAACACAAAGTTTTTAAAATTTAAAGAAAATGTTACTCATAAATATTGATTGATTATAAATTTAAATCTTCATTTTGTGGTTGGAAACATTTAAGTTTACGATTATGAAAGTATAATAAACTATTTTATCTGTAAAAAGACTTTTTTTATGTAATTTATTATACTTATCTGACGTCATACTTTTTGCATTTCATCCCACATCATTTAATAAATTTTTCAAATCTTGTTGACATTGAATGGCAATAGTTTAGAGAAATCAATTACGATCATAATATAAAGCAATATTGCTGCATTCTTAATTTGGTGAAAAGTTGAGCCATCACGCTGAGTAAATTATGCTATTTTAAACAGAATTTCACTATTTTAATGTCTTGAAAAAAATATGTTGCAATATAGCAGCTTAATAAGAATGCGCAGGGAGAAAAAATTCTAGTAAAATTTCTGTGCAGTATGGCAATGACATTTCTGATAAAAAGACCAATAATTCTGGCTAATAAAATCGAAATATACGGTATTTAAACCATTCATTTGATAATGTTACTGTTCATATGTTAACTGTTTGCCGGGAAATTTGATTTTAAAATTATAGTTCTTATTACCTAATATTTAATAAAAATACAAAACTAAAAAGTAAATCTAAACAAATAAATTGTTTTTATGCTATGATCTAAGGTCATCAGAATGAAATAACCAAATTTGTTGTTAATTTTACCAAAATTTTTACTAAAGCACTTCGGTAAAAATTACCGAGCCTTTTGGATATCGAAGTTTAACTAATTCCAAACTATCTATATAAAAATTCTCTTCTACACGAAGAAAAAAATTCTGGCAAAATTGACGACGTTTCTGGTAAAAATAACCTAAATTTAGTCAATAAAAACCATTGTTTAAACTGCTCATTTTAGTAATTTTACTGCTCATATTGTCAACAGCTTTCCGAAAATTCCGGTTTTTCTAAATTATAGCTCCTATTACAACACATTAATTTAAAAAATACAAAACTGAAAAAAATACTTAAGCGAATAAATGGTTTTTATGCCATATTATAAGGCATCATAATAAAATTACCAAATTTTATCACTATATTACATATTTTAATCTTAATTTTATCTGAAGTCTTCAGCAAAGAGTTTCAGTGAAAATTATTGAGCTATTTGGTGTTCCCACAGAGCCAGAAACACAGTAAATTTTGAGATATTGAGATATTTCTGATAAATTTAACAGTTTTGACCGGACTTTTTTTTCTGAGTGTAGCAAAGTAACATGATATTGTTGTTCATAATTTAACCATTTTTTTTCCTGAGAGTATATTGCTATTACATAGTTTTAAAATTTTAATTTTTTAGCATATTAAAATCTCTATAACACTTTTCTAAAATCATTCATAAATTTCATTAATCATATACATGAATAGTATTTAAACAATCTTAAAAGAAAACACTTCATCAATTTTGTTTCTTGATAAATTTTGTATTTATTTTTCTTTCAGAAAAGCTAGTAAAATGCATCTTTCGAGAGCGGAACTAAATTGCCGATTACCTCTTGGTTAAATTCACGAGATGAATAGTTAAAAAATTTATATTTTTCACCATAATAAAATTTCTGTAATGCTTTTTTTAAAAATCATTAATGTTTCATTAAACATGTACATGAATCGTATTTAAACAATCTCAAAAGAAAACATTTCATCTGAAATCAACTTCTTTCTTTTGTTGTTGGCAAAACGTCAAGCAAATTGTTTCTTGATAAATTTTGTATTTTTTTTCTTTCAGAAAAGCTAGTAAAATGCATCCTTCGAGAGCGGAACTAAATTGCCGATTACCTCTTGGTTAAATCCACAAGATGTATAGTTCTTCCGCACATTTTACGACAGCAAAACTTGAGGGGTATTTTAGGGTGCTTTCCATTTTATTTCCAGACGAGGATGTCATTTAGGGGTGGACTGAGCGGCAGATGTCTCCTTTGGGTTTGGTTTGATGGCACTTAAACTTGTTTTTCTTGAGCAAGTTGGGATATATGATGCTTTTGTAGGTAATACGTTTCTTTTTAACTCTCTTCTTGAAATCTTGCTTGTACCTCAATTTAAAGTCTAAAAAATTGATGTCATACTATATTTTTTTAACATAAAACACTATATAAAATAACTACGAATTTTAAGACTTCATCTTTGAAAAATTAGATTTTGTTTCTATTCTTAGAAGAACAATATTTTATAAGAGCCAAAGAAATAAAATAAAATGAATAAATAGAAATAAAAAAAAAATGAAATGAATTCTTAAAATTATCAAATTAAATTTGATGTATATTTATTGTATGCTTAAAAATTAATTATGGGCTATAGAAGTAAAAGTGCTACGTTTACTTTACTTTGTTTAAAGTTTTCATTTTTTAAAAATTATTAAAATTATGCACTTTTTAAAATCTTTAAATTGTAACAATTTTATTCATTATTCATTAAAAATTCACTCTTGGACTTAAGATAATTTTATTAATTGATTTTTTTTACTCTTTAAATGAAAATAATTTCTTTAATAATTTTATGTGATGGTTAATAATTTTATAGCATAAATAATTTCGGGCAGTAAACTGCGAGGTTGGCAAAACTTTGCCTAATTTGAATTCTAGGTCATTTAATTTTTTTTTATTGAATGAACAACTTATTTTGTAAAAGCGATAATTATTAGTTATGCGCTTAGGGAGCTTTATCACGTAAAATTATTTAAAAAACATGTAAGCAAAGCAATAATAATAAAAATTATGGGAAATGGAAAAATGCAAATTTATATTGTTAAGTTTCTCAGATTGATAAATTTATATATCTGGTTAACATATCTTAAAAAATATTTTTACAGTTTCGTGTATAATGGTATTAAATTATTTTAATTAAATAAAATAAAATAATAATAAATCAATATTATGTGTTTTAACAATTTTGTTTCATGTAAAACGAATAATTTAGAAAACTTTATATACATTCGGAAATTTTTATTACTAAGTATCCACAAACTATATCAATTTTTTAGAGTGTAACAAAGGGATAAGAATAAATTAGGTGAAACTAAATTCATAATTTACTGACTTAGTTAATGTTGGGGGCCTACTTTAAGTTGAAAGCAAGTGTTGTGTGGTGTAGCATTTTTATGAAAAATCTAGAGCATTATTTTCAAGCACAACATTAATTTATCGTTTTTTCCCAATAAGATATAATGTTTCAGCCTTTGCAAGAGCCTCTTATTGTTATTTCAACTTAAAATTTGTACAAACATGCAATAAAAACTATAACTTCTAATTGTCATTTTGCATTTTATTACTCTCTTAACAATTTTCGGGAATCTTAAACATTCATGTAATATGTCTTAGGGCTATAAAAAATTCTATTGGAAGTAATTTTAAAGAAACTGTAAAAAAGTGCTCATTCCTTCACATTTGTACGATTTTAAGAAAACTCTGAAGCTGTTATTTACGATTAATATCTTCAAAAAAAAAGGAAACTTCGAAAGTATTAAGAAAAAACTTGTTTTCGAATAACGACGCTATCTCAGAACTCCGTAGACTCGAAAGACTATTCCTTCAAATGGAGGACCATTATTGTGAGACTGTCATAAGACTCAAGGCAGCTATTCTTGTCACAAAATAGTCCACAGAAAAAGACATTTTTGTATCCCAGGATAGTCATCCCCCCTCCCTCCATTTTAAGCTTTTCTTGTTCCTCACTGTGAGCACAAATCTAAGTTGTAGCCTTAGTTTTGTTAGATATTTGATCAGTTAGGAAAAAGTTTATTTCCTTTTTTTTTATAGATATATCGAATTTTATATTATTTTTGAAAAGGGAATCAAATGGAATTGCTTTCTTTTGCTGACTTAAAGTGAGCATAACATGGAATTATTTTAAAATATATACCAATAATTTTTTACGGTGTAAAGGAAATTAGTATTCTGGTTGTCATATGTTGCAAAATTCGAGATTTTGCCGATGGCTGTGGAAAATGTATATTTTCATTGGAAATATGTTCTATTGTTAACAGTAAGCTCACCAAAGTAAACATAAAAAATATTTAGCAGGCTTTTAAAAAGATGATGTTCGGTACTCTGACAAGTTTCTGAGCCCAACAATAGAAGTAACAGCTCTCTTGGTAGCAAAATGGAACAATCTCCCCAAGACAATGTTTGGCCCTCTGATAAGTTTCAGAACTAAATAACAGCGGGCTCGGTGACAAATGAATTGACTTCATCCGGCTTTGAAAAAACATTAAAAAAAAATAAAAAAATAAAAATTCAATGTTTGGTACTCTGATAAATTTTTGAACAATAGAGATAACAAGAAAAAAAAAACTAAATGAAAAAAAAAACCCCGTCTCAAAATGAAATAAACTTGGAGGTTTTTGAAAATATTATGTTTGGTACTCTAATCAGTTTCTTAAATAAATAATTGGGACAACAGCGGTATGGTGGCAAAATGGGACTACCTCTCTTGAATTTGTGAAATGTGACATTTGGCATCCTGAGTACATTCCAAGCTAAATAATGCAGGTAATAGCCGTTTCGGGGACAAAAGGAGTCAACATACTCAGGCTTTGAAGAAAAAATAATTCTGAAATTTTTTTAATAATTCTGATAAGTATTCTGATAAATTTTTGAACAATGAAAGTAACAGCTCCCTTGGTTTCAAAATGAGACAATCGCGACGGTTTTTTTTAAAAAGGCGGTCTTTGGTACTCTGGCAAGTTTCTGAATTGATTAATAGGGGTAACAGCCCTCACTGTTACAAAATACGACTACCTCACCAGGATTTGAGAAAAGCAATGTTTAACACTCTGTGACTATTCTGAACTAAGTAATACTCGTTATCTCTGTAACAAAATGAGTCAAACTCGTCAGGCTTTGAACTCTTTGAACGTTTTGAGCTCTGAACAATGTTCCGTATTCTGATAAATATTTGAACAATAGAGGTAACATTCATCGTGGCAATAGAAAGAGTCAACCGCACTAAAAACTTTTTTAAATACGATTTTCGGTGTTCTTATAAGTTTCTGAACTAAACAGTATGCTGTAAACAATTTCGGTTAAAAGTACGGGCACTCAGGGAACCGGATCAGGTTACTTAACAATAATTTTTTACGTTTTTACTATACTTAGGATGCCGGCACTTTTTTACCATGAAATCAATTTTAACTGGAACAAAAAATCTGATTATACCGTAATTTTTACAGTGTAATAATTATAGTAAAATCACTGAATCATTCTAATTCAATAAATATTTCTGAAAAAATTACAGCATAATATTTTGCGATTAAAAAAAATTTTAATGTAAAATAGTTTTTTCGGAGGATGCACCCAAAGTGCCAGTAATTTACGGGTAAAATTTTATTGGTATCATCTGTCTGTAGTAGTTTAATATTCAATGGCAAGATTTTCAAACAAACACTTTTATTATAGTAAATTGAATTTCTTCATATATTCTTTCTAAATGCTATTTAATTAATTATTTTAATCATGATATTAAGGATTTATTTTGCAGAAAAAAATATTTAGAATATGTTTAGAAGCATTCTTTTTTTCGTTTCATTCGATGTTACCAATAAAAAAAGTCCTATGATTAGAATTCTTTGCTAAGAAACTATCCAACAAACTTCTTTTAAAACTTCGCACCCAATAGTAAATAATGATTTTTAGTAAAAAAATAAAAACCCCTAGTCTTGAATTTTTTTCAGAAACTACTAAACTGATTCAGTAATTTTAGTTCATAAAAGTCAGATTAGGTCGAAATTTCTTACAGAAATTAAGGTTTTCTTTACTACTGGTCATCTGGTCATTCAATTAACCTTTTAATTACGGTTGGTACAAGAAGTGGACCAAAATGACTGGCATCAGCATGCTAAATGCTTCAAGCAAAGGGTTAAAGTGTTCATGCACATGAAATTAAAAAAAAGTAAACCAAAAATTAAAGAAATCATTGCATTTTTTCGAACAAAGGGTAAATCCCTTCAAGGTCTTAATTCTTGTTGGGCTAAATAATTTCAGTTTTAATAATACGGAAAAGCATTTTAAAAAGTTTGATGAATCACTATTAAGGTCATATATTGTAAGGTCATTTCAATTGTCAGATGAAATCAAAAATGGTGTCGATAACATTCTGTTTGTTAGAATAATTATAAAGAGTGAGTCAACAATTGTCGTCAGTAAGTTCAAAATTTAAAAATCTGTCTCATTTGGCGGGAATATAACTACATTTTGAAAATTGAATTTCTTTATTTTGGCTATTAAGTAATAGCTCATAAATTTCATTATTAAGTTATGATAATTCATTGTAAGAGATTTTAAAAATATTTGGCAGGAGAAACATGTTGCTTAGAAATTTCTTCTATTTCATCTCTCCACAAATAAAAAAGTGTGTTTGGTTGAATTTGGTATTAAATGCAGTGAGTAACAAAAATGTATTAATTCAGACAACTATTGATAAACGAAAATGTAATAACTTAAAGGATATGTTTTTAACTTTAAAATTACTTTAATTATTTTTATCAGTTTAAATTTTTAAATTATTTTTATCAGTAATTTCAAAAAGAGGAACTGTAATAATTGCCAATTGTCTAAATTTCTGTAAAATTCAGACAATTGGTCGTTAATTTATCAGTCTCTCTTCTTTGAGGAAAAAAATCCAAGTGTTTTTAATTACAATGAAATACAGTAGTTAAATTATAATGAAATACAGGAATTTAATTATAATGAAATACAGTTTTTAATTGTAATGATTGCAGCATACAATCATGCCCATAAAGGTACTGGGTCTAATCCCAACCTGGGCTAAAGAACATCTCTTGTACTTCTTAAACATTGGTGATATTGGGTAATTAAGGGTAACTCTCTCTCTCCTCGACAGAGGGCGATACTACACTATTTCACATCGTGCTGTAGTTCTCCTTGATTCTACTGAATGCCTGATTTTTTAGCAACGCCAAAGCCTGTACTGAATGTTTTCTTTACGAGCATAATGTTAATTTACTGTCAATTGCCATTTTATGAGAAAAAATTTACCAACATACCTATATTTTTATAATTATAATTTTATTTCTACGGTCAGTGACTGGAATATTTTTGCCGGTTAGTAACTGTTACACAGAGAAAAAAAAGTATGGTCAAAACTACCAGTATATGGTGAAATTTATCGAACTCTTCGCTCTATGAGTTTTTGCCGAAGCGCTTCAGTTATGATTTTGGTAAACTTAATACCAAAATATAGTTCAATATGTGATAATTTTATCATGATTTTTTAGAATATGGCAACAAAAATCTACTTATTCGGAAACTGATATCATACGAAAAATTTTTAATATCATAAAGTACTGTAATTTTTCTATAGTTTGCTTCTCAGAGTAGGATGCAAATAAAATTATTAAGAAAAATCAAATTTTTCTTAACACATTGAACATATAAAAATTAGTTTGCAATGTATACCGTTAAATAGCAATTGTTTTTTTTAAAATATTAACTATCTAATAATCATAAATCTTGGTATTTTTCTAAAATACTGGAAGCATTTATAAAATTTTCCTCACTAAATTTTTTTTTCTCATCTAAAAATTACTTTAAGTTATATGAAGTAGGATTTTTATCACAACCATTATTTATTCATTTGTTTATTAATTCAAATAATTAGTATTTTCTGAACAAGTTACAAAAATAAAGATACGAATATACATCATCAATATTTATATTGTTTATTTGAAATTTTAACTCGAGAGAAATATTTTCGTTTATAACTAAAAGATGCTGCATTATTGCGTTTATTTCTCAATTAAATAAGGAAATAACAATCATAAAAAATAACGAAATAAAATAAATTGGAAGCAGCAACCTTGATTAGGAATGATCGGCAAAAATGTATCTATAACAAGATAGTCTCGGAGTGGTTTCAATTGAAGTCTTATAAAAAGCGACACATCTTTCTGATCTATTATTCTTTTTCAATAATCATGATCATAAACATGAACGTTTTACTTTTGGTACTTCTTTCAATTACTCTTTATGGTGTTAAAGGTTCGTATGACACCTTTATCTTATATGAGAACTAAATATACTAAATTTTTTTATAGATTACTTATTTTATTTGTAGATTTCAGAATTACATAAAATAAGTACAGAAAAGACTTGCTACGCGTATCTCGTGTCTCTCTTGGCAACGAAAACTTTAGACATCTATTGTTAAAGTATTAGTCGTAAATGCTTTTGAATAAACAGTAGAAATGCAAGTAAAAATATATTCAATGATTTTTTAATTTTTTTTAATATTATGTATAATTTGTGACTCACTCTGCACGAAAAAAATTGGTAAAAAATCAATTTAAAATTACTGAACTGTGTGGTTGAAACTTTTCTGCTTTTAAAAAAAACAGACCATAATTCTGGTAACGAAACCAAAATATATAGAAAATATATACAAAATATATACAAAATTAAAAAGTAAATTTAACCGTATATATGATTTTTATGCCATGCTCTTAGGTATCATGATAAAATTATCAAACAACACAGATTATGAAACAATATTTTGTTGTTAATTTTACAAAAATCATTACTAAAGCACTTGGGTGAAAAATATCATGCATTTTAGTGTTATACATCCAGAAATACGGTAAATTTAGCCTTTTCTTGGTAGCTTTAGTCTTGACCATACTTTTTGTCAGTGTAATGGTTCCGGATAGTTCAATAAAAGGAGAAAATAAAATTTAATCTTAATTCGTTTTTTAGTTTCATCATTTTGAAGATGATTCTCTGTATTATTCATTATGTTAATTTTTTAATATTCCAGTTTTTTTAAGCTAAGAACTTTGCTTAAAAAGTCTGGAAGAAGATAAGACAATTTACTATTTGTGATGTTTTCACAAAGTAATGGGCTTCTATAACGGCTTCTGTATGGGCTTCAATGTAAAATGGGCTTCTATAACGATAACAACATTAAAAACAATATGACACAGAATAGTTTTTTATTTCTCTTGTTCATTGCGTATATTTTGTAACTCCAACGGCTTTGAGTAGTTAAAAACGGGGAAGAAAACGAAACCAAGTTCTAACTCAAATTCTAATTTCATTGTTGAAAGATAATTAATTGAACTATTTTTTAAGTTATTTTTTCAATATTTAAGACCACTTCGAACAAATTATTTTTACAGACAGTTCAATACCTGCAAAAGTTTCATAATGAAATATTTTTTTAAAAAGTGCTGTCATGAAAATATGAGCAGTAAAATTAAAACTAAATGTTTAAATTGCAAACATAAATATGATTATATTTTGCTCCGCAGGTGAAGATGCTTGCACTTTGCCAACAGACAGTGGACCATGCAAGGCCTATTTTATTAGATACGGTTTCAATTGTTGTTCTCAAAAATGTGAGAAATTTATCTATGGAGGGTGCCTAGGAAATAAAAATAACTTTTCAACGAAAGATGAGTGTGAAAAAGCTTGTGGTAAGCAAAAATTTTCTATTTTAAGGTAATAACTCAGATAACTCTTGCATTCGACTAAAATATCGACTTCTCGTGAAGTGAAATTATAAAATCAAAAAATAAATAATTGTGTATGGAGAAAAGTAATTTGTAAAATTAACCACACTATATGGTGTGGACATAACCAATATTCAGTGTATTAAAAACCAAAATATACGGTATTTAAATCATCCATTTACTAATATTTCCAATAATATTATAACGGTTCACTGAAAATTCTGATTTTGTAAATTATAGTGCTCATTATCACACATTTAGTAAAAAATACAAACTGAAAAGTAAATTTAACCGAATAAATTGTTTTCATGCCATTTTCTAAGGTATTATGATGAAATTACCAAATTTTGCAACTTTCATAAAATTTTATCACATATAATAAAACCGCATTTTATTGTTAATTCTGCGAAATTCATTAAAAAAAGTGCTTGTGTGTGTAAAAAAGTGATACACATATATATATAAAAATTCTCCTTTTTTCAGTGTTCTGTGAATTTTTCCAAGTTTTCTCTACATTTTGAACTTATTTTATGAGTTCTATTTACTTGCAGCTTATGAGCAGTAATTAAAACTTATTGTTTTTCTTAATTTTCCTCGTGTTTCTTATTCTTTTTGTCCCTTTGGTATTTATTTATTATGATATATATATATATATATATATAAAAATG